TCTATCTATCTATCTATCTATCTATCTATCTATCTATCTATCTATCTATCTATCTATCTATCTATCTATCTATCTATCTATCTATCTATCTATATCTATATATATCTATATATATATATATATAGATATATATATATACGATTCATGCTGCAAACCAGCAGAGCTTTTTGCCTGACAAGCAAAGACATATGTGGCAGTTTAAAACTTTTTGAGGCGCTATCAACAGGTGCCAGAATTGTATATTTAGTCTTCACTTATTTCTTAATAACGAACCTGATCTCTAAATAATCTAATCTTTAAAATCAGTTTTTTAGTGTTTAAAGGCAAAAGCTCCAGAACTCTCTGCTCATTTTTATTATTTTTTTGTTTTTCTTCTTTTGATTCAACCTTCTTACCTGCAGTGTTTCTACCCACTCCAGCAGGTCTGGCAGCTCAGCATTACCCACCCTGACCACAGAGCGGAGCCAGATATCTGAGACGTTCAGGGGCTCCCCGTAATTTACAACTACCAGCAAATGCTTTGAGAAATATTTCTCAGTGAAAATAATTAAACAAACAAACAAACAAATACGCTGTTAATTACAAGGTATTTGTCTAAGTGTATTGAAGCTACATAGTAAAAAAAAGAAAATTCAAATTATTTTCTGATCAGAACCTTAATTTCTGTAATTTGTAAGATTACTGATTCTTGCATTCTCATAAATGTAACTTCTGTCCACATATGTAGCTATAAATATAAGGTAAGGTAAGTTGTATCCTTGTTGGTAGGAAATTATATTTAAAGGTCTGTGATGTTTCCTTAAGGTTCTGTTAAAAGCAACTCAGCGTTTTATTAATCAATGATAAATAAATTGCTAAACTCCTGCCTAATGAACTGGAAGATGGTTCATAGCAGAAAATAATGTGCTAAAATCCGAAAAGCTTTTAATAGGACACAATGGAATACATATATTTTAAAATATGTTTAAGCAACCAATAGGCTACAGTAAAAAATATTGCAGAGGTAAAACAAAATAGTGTGCAATAACTGAAAAAAAAGAACACAATAAAAAGTGATTTTCCATACAGAAAGCCCATATTATTATCATCAGCTACCATAGTATCCATGTCGGTTTAAATAATACTACTTATACTTCAGCAATAGATTCAAGGTGTCACTTTATTGTATCTCTTATACTATATCCATTGGTTGTGCTGTTTTTTTACATCTCTTTGCAGGTGAGGAAGCAGACTGAACATGTTTTATCATTATCTCCCTTTTATCTCCTTCTTCTTGTTTTTCCTTTCCTGTTCTACTTACATTGCAGTGTCCATATAATCCAATATCTTCCCTGTATGAATTTTAATAAGGTTATTCATATGCATAAATCAAGCGGAACACTATGGCGATAGCCGTACTGCTCCACTTATGAAAGTAAAATCTGTCGGGCTCCCTTTGGCATCAAGACCATTATTCTTATTGCCACATTGCCAGACAGGACACTGCTAAAAAAAAAACAAAAAAACACCAACATAAAAAAAGTATTTAAAATAAAAGATATTTAGACATGTTTGTGACTATTCTTTGATTGATTGATTGACTTTATTGATCTCACAGTGGAGAAATCTAGAGATTCAGATTTAAAAAGTCTAAGCAAGGACTTATACATCAAAACAAGGGGGAGAATCTTTCCACTTGCAGCAGTGTAGCTAGTTAGCCAGCTAGAAAACAACATTCACACATAAGATGTTTGATTATCAATTCAATTCAGTTTATTTATATAGTGCCACTTCACAACACATGGCAATCCCTCACAATAAGCATGCTTGTAGCGACAGTGGAGAGGAAAAACTCCCTGTTAACAGGAAGAAACCTCCAGCAGGACCAGGCTCAGAGTGAGCGGTCATCTGCTGAGGCCGACTGGGGTTCAAGGAGACAGAAGCAGAGATACAAAAAGCAGCTTTAAAAGGAAACACACAGGCAGGCAGACGAGCTCCAAGCCAGCTCCCATATCAGAGGTTGAGGAGAGCACATCCAGCCAGTCACAGTCAGAGAAACAGGACCACAATGGAAAAACAGGCAGATCTCCAACATCTATAAACAAAGGTATTGATGACATCAGGACAGCTGATATTTCTCTCTAGGATGAAGTCACAGCCAAACAGGAACAGACAAGGCAAAGCTACTCTGAGAAAAAGCAGAGAGAGCAGAATGTTAGAGATTGAACTAACAGATTCTGCAGAATAGGAGAACAGAGAGAGAATGAAGCAGAATGATGAAATAGGGGTCATATATAACAATATAGATGATTAAAAACCACTCTGATACATATACATTCTATAGACCAGAGATGAGAAAAAAAGTATAATAGAGGTCCATATGAGTGAACTGGACCAATGGCGTAACAACACTTTGTACATAACGGTTATGGTTTTAATCTACGCTCTGGATTACCCATAATTTTAAGAGGTATTGTAAAAAATAAAACACTCAAATACATTGTTCTTTTAAGATCTTTATTACAGTTTGAAACATATTTTATGAGTGCGTTTTTTTTTTTACCAACCATGTAATGAACTACCGGTATACATATTATTAACATAGTAATTAAAAGTACCAATGTCTGCTTTGTTATTGGTGTTGTCTTTAAACGGCTCACCATCATGTTAAAATCTGCCATGTGTTGGGGTATAAATAAGGTGGATCTAAGACAAATTTTTCGCACCATTACATCTGCAAAGAGATCGGGGGCCCCTAAGCAACTGCATGCTGCTTACCGATAGTTACGCCACTGAACAGGACAAAAAGCTAAACATTTAAGCTCGCTTTGTAAAAAAATTATGTTTGGCAGAACCTGCATATTTGGTTAGGTACCAAAATAAATAATAAAACACTTTTGAGAAAAATCAAATATTAACATACAAGAATTACATTCAGAAGGATTTATCTGTTATGGTCAATATTGTTATAAGTGTGGGAAGATATCATATACATGTACGTAAATGGAAATATCAAAAACCTTCAGTAATAAGTTTCAAAAGCGAACTCAAAATCTTCTAATCCTCTTTATCTCTGTTAGCTGACAAATATGGACATATACAAAAACTATGTAGTGACCTGTCAACATTTGATCAGCAAAATGCTAAAGTTAACGTGATGTAAGGAACTGTCTTGTTGTAGAATGAGGCTGTCTCTTTTACATTATTATTCTTTTTTTAATAAGTTTTGTATGTTTCCTTTGGTTATAATAATACTGCCTGTTTATTTATTCATTTATCTCTGTTGCCTTGCAATATTTAAGTTTATAATATATGTTGTCTTCTTTTTTATGTAAGAAAGAAAGGTGGTGATTTACAGAAGAGGATTAGGGCCACTGAAAAAAATAAAAAAAAGTTAACTGATTTTTTTATTTTATTTCAGTATTTTTTGAGTAAAAAGTCAGAATTCTGACTTTAATCTCAGAATTCTGACTTTTTTCTCAGAGTTTTGGATCTTAATGGGCACCATGAAGGAAGAGACGTGGGAGCACTCAGCTTCACTGACAAAGATATGAGTTGTCTGAGAGGGCCAGTAACACAGTGGTGGAAAATAACGGAATTAGGTGACCTTTTACGTGCCGAAGGGTCCCTGGTGATACTATTTCATTAATGGAGGAGCAGAAGGTGATTAAAACAAGAGAGCTAGTTCAGTCTTTAAAACAGACATGGCTTGATGCTAACATGTTTGTTAGCTGTCAGAATTCAGCCAGAATTCAGAGATTAAAGTTAGAATTCTGAAATTAAAGTCAGAATTCTGAGAAAAAAGTCAGAATTCTTAGATTAAAGTAAAAATTCTGAGATTAAAGTCAAAATTCTGAGATTAAAGTCTGACTTTTTTCTCATACTGAGATAAAATTTAAAAATCAGTAAAATAAAAAAAATAAAGTGCCCCTAATCCTCTTTTGTAGTGATTCTTACTCGAAAATGTAAAAAAAAAACAAAAACAAATTTTTGTTCAAAAAAAAAAAAAAAAAAAAAAAATAGAAGTTCGGTTGTCTTGATTCCGATACTCCCGGCGGCCCTTGAACGCAACAGCAAGCATTAGCTCAGCACAGAGAGAGGGATTGGGATCCAGAGAGGGAAGGAAGGAAGGAAAGAGAGATACAAGCTAAACAGGTGGTCTGAAAAATCTAGAAAACAATGTTCTGCAGGGAGAAGCAGAGCGACGTTTAGTCCTCCATTTCCCCCCAGAGAGGAACCGGGATAACCTCGGACAACAACAACAAAAAGCCCCTCCATGCTCCTGCCTGCTTCCCATTCGGATTTGTCCTCCTCGTCTCGGCTTTGCTCCGAACCTGGGGAAGTCCTGGGATCCTGAGCCATGAAAGTGACCGTGTGCTTCGGCAAGACCCGGGTGGTGGTTCCGTGCGGGGATGGTAACCTGAAGGTCCACGCGCTCATCCAGCAGGCTGTCATGCGCTACAAGAAGGCTATCGCTAAGGTGAGCCAATCGAGGCTACTTTTTCCTCCTCTTGTTTTCCTGGAAGCGCCGCAGGCTCGCTCAAATATGGCGCAAACTTTTCGCAGACGCAAAGCAAAGGAGGGGGGAGTGGAAAAGGCGCTCGGTTTTCCTCAGTTTTTCTCTTTTTCTTGCAAGTTTGCTGGAGAAACCGATGCGCTGCTTTCAAAGAAAAGGCGCATCTTCTTTGTGGTTCTTGTGTTTGTAAACTAAGAGGAAAACTTCCTCAGAGATTCTGCCTGAGGCTCACAGCGAGCTGGCAAACGTTTTCTAAGAATGTAGCGGTTGTTTCCATAACAACTTTTTACTGTCTTGTTGGGGAAAAGTCTTTAAACTTTGTAGCAATTTTTCAACAAAAGGACTTCTGTGATGCGTTTAGGGACCAACCCTGGATTATCTTACCATCTTCATCTCCACATATCCCAGTAAAAATAAGCGAATCAGACAATGCATTTGAATTAATTAAAGGTTATTTAAAATAAGTGCACAACAAGACATTTTTAAATTTAAAATGAAGTTGTGAAACTTTCCCACATGCATCCCAGCTCTCAGCTGCATGCTCCCTGCAGACCCTGCAGGATGCTGATGGGAGCTCCTGGTGCATGCATGGACCTGAGGCATAAATCCTGCACAGAGAAGTGGAAGAAAACCTGTAGGGAGGTTATTGAGGCAGCTGCAGATAACCTCTGAACTAACCTAGTGCAGAAACCTGCAGGGATTTTTATTTTTTTCCCACCTGGATCAGATAAGGGAGGAGAGGGAAGCACAAGGCCAACAGTGAAAGGCTGGGTGGGAAAAGCTTCTGTCATATCTGTCAGAATTTACGGCTTTGATTAATGCAGCCTTTATGGAGACTTTTGCTTCGAAGGATTCTCATGACTTCACTCAGTTGTCAAATAAATCCCTTTTTTGGATTTCAGGAGACACGATTTTCCAACATTTATTATTCAAACAGCCTGAGATCTGCTGATCAATAGGTTCAGTTTGTGAGAAAATCTTTTTTTTCCATAAATGCATCAAAATTAAGACCCTAAATTGGCCAAAAATATCATCATATGAATATTATAACAAGACAAAGGTAAAGAGCTTTAAGCTTAAATGTGTATACATTTTTTTTCCATTGTGAATCAAATGCGCTACCTATCAAGTAATGTGCTGAGCTAACTTTCATTGTTGGTGTGAAAATGCTTGGAAACATTAATGAAAAACCAAAATGTTTGACCTCCATACGGCAGGAATCCATATCAGCCAGAAAAGTCTCAATCGTTTGGATAGTTTTCCCTAAAATGACTCTTAGGGAAACTTTTTTCCTCTGCTTATTTCACGCCCGCCTCTTTGCTGTAATGATAGTGACCTAGAAGTTTTACTAGACCCTCCTCTCCTCTGAATAATTTACGCTGCAGCAGACAGAAGCAGGTATGAGGATGTCTCTGCTCTAATGAGAAACACACGGCTGGTTGGCAGAACTTCTCCACTTTAACGACTTGGCTTCTGCATTAAAAGTCAGGCAATATGGCAAATCAAAGCGTTTTTTTTTTATATTGTAGAGGCTAATATGAGAAGAAAAACAAGAACATGTAATAATTTCTCAGAACCGGGGCTAATGGTCCAAGGTTTTGTGAAATAAACTTTTAATCAACTTTAGGTGAATCCTGTTTTTTATCCTTCCACTTAGATTTTAGGCGTCAGATTGGCCTCTGCTTGAAATCTCACTAAGTTATTACCCTGATGGGGCATTCCTCTAGTGCAGGGGTAACCAATTAAAAATCAGCGGGGTCTGAATAAAGAAACAAAAAACAACCAGTAAAGATCCGGAGACATTTTAATTATAATCCGCTATTTTAAAGAAAATTTAACATTGAAATAAAATGAGGTGTTTATGCACCCATGTTATACAGTGTTTTTTGAGGTAAGAGAACAATAATCGTTCAGTTTGGTATATAGACGATTTCCTGATTCACATATTTTATAAAACACCTGAACTGACATGTTTTCTTTTTTCTTTCTTAATGTTCGCAGTGGGCTTTTTGCTGCCCTGCAAGGCTTTAAACCTGGGTTTGAATGGAGACAAAGCCATTCTAAAGCACATATCAAGGTGCTCATTTTGAGCCTGGATTTATTTTTGATTCTTGTTCATGGTGGAGAATCCTGCTTCACAGCAGCAGGTTGAGCCAAACGTTCTCAAAATGTGCAGGGTCATCTTTTAGCACCATTTCACTTTTTCACCAGTCCACACTTTCTCTGCTCTCTTTTTCTCATCATCTTCTCCTTCTTTCCCATCGCCCGGCTTGCCACAGGTTTGCCTGCTGTGTCTAAAAGTAGCAGCAGCAGCAACCCAGACTGACAGCAGCTCATTGGCTCATTTGTATCGTGCAGCCTGGTCCCGGACGATCCAGAGGTCTTTACCGTATTAACAGGAGAAGCGGCGCAAGTGAAATTGGAAGTTGTGCCAGTTGATTCCTGTGAAATCTAATGCATTATAACCCGCCAATCTAACCTAAACAACTCTAAATGGCATTCCTTTACTAGATGTTATCTATTTTTTTTATTCTAAATTTCTTTTCTAAGAACTGACCCTGTCAGTCATTCTAAGATCATTACACACCTTCACTATTTTAATCTTATCTTAGAATAAAACAATAAAAGCTTCTGAATGAACTGCTCTCTTACAGCATTGCCAGTGGGTGATTTTGAGACCTTAACAGGGGAAGACGAGGTCGGTTTTGTTTGGATATTTTCACCAAACAGGACAAAAGAATAAAAAAAGTAGAAAGATGGCAACCAACCGCTACGAACCAGGCAGTCATTTTAAGTTTTCACATTTTCAAAAGTGAAATAATTAGTTACGATACCTAATCTTTGTCCTCAGTCTCCTATTTCTTTCTGTTCTTCATTTCTAGGAGAATTTCTGTTTTAACGTTTGAATAACTTTATGATAATATGAAAAGGTGTTTTAATACCGAAGATTTAGTTTTAAGAGTAGAATTTAGTATGAATAATAATTATTGCATTTATTGTCGAAGCTAAATGTTTAGGAAAACTAGGAAAGCTCTTTTTTTTGTTGCAGTTGTTAAATTTAGAGAAAGTAAGAAGTAGATGGCACAGATGTTTGTTTCCAATTTTGCTGGACAATAAATGGCAACACAAATTATTGTAATAAATAATATTGATGTTTTAGCCCATTTATGACCTTGTATAGTGAAGTCATGTAAGTACATCCGCTCACAGATCAGAAGACTAGTGTCTAAAGAACACCGGAACTTGAAGACTTTTTAGACATACTTAAAACAAAAAAAAAACAACCAAAAGTAATAGATAACATAGATTAGTTTTTAAAAAAAAGAATGCACTTGCACAAAAACCAAAATAAATAAAAGGAAATAAACCCACACACAACCTAGACAGTCAAAGCCCCTTAAGGGGTTTTATCTTTTGTAAAGCTGTGATTTGTGAGGTGAGGGTATCTTTTCCCTGGTAATTCATATTAGCTGTCAAAGGTTTGCAACATTTTTGAAAATGCTGTCTTTTCAACTAAATTAAAGAGGAGTATTTCTTTGGAGATGAAGCAACCTACAGCTGCTATTTTTGTCTTTGGTTTTGAGATTGAACATTCCAGTTAGAGTGGATTGTTGGGAAAACTGAGGCTCCTTCTGAATAACTTAAATTGTGACCTCTAATCCTCTCCCTAGCTCCTTCTGTTCACCTTCCGTAGGGTTGACAGTAAAACCATCATCCAGGGTAGGAAAAGAACTCTGTACTGCTGGGTTTATCCAGATGGCCTTCAGCCTTATGAACGTCATTATGCAGCAGACATGCACATGGATGATGCTGCTCAAATTGCCTTCCTGAAAAAAAAAAAAAAAAAAAAAGTTGCACAAGCTTTTTATTATGGAACCCAAAATATATGAAGTCCTGTCATATAAGAATACATGTAGAAAAAAAAGGCTTTTTTTGTTAAACTCTGAGAGGTGAGCCTTCCCTATAGGTCCTGTCACACAAAGGATTGTGGGAAACCAAATAGCTCCTAGCAGTGGATAGGAATGTCAGGAGATCCCTATGCTAAATGAACTAGTTAAAGGAAGGATCCTGTTTCCTCTTCCTTGCTCCTTCCTTACTGCCAGCACTATTAAGACAGCACTTATCATGGCGGCCACTGACGCACTTCCAGATTAAGTTTCTGGTTGTGTGATTTTTAGGGGTGACTATGGGTGTTGTGATACGATACTTGTCACGATACAATATTATCACGATATTGCAATATTACTATATATTGTGATGTTTTTCCCAGCTATCAAAATTAAATGTATAAATAAAAAAGCAAGTTCTGTGTATAAGAACATATTGATCATTAGGTTATTTTGGTATCCATGTTGTTTGGGGTTCCAGCCAGTTCACGTTTTCCGTTGTGACTGCCTTAGCTTCAGATATGGCGCTGCGCCGTACAGCGAAAGGACTCCACAGTGCTCTCTGCCAGAGTGGCGCTGCAGAGGTAGCCCTTTTTCCCTCATTTTTTTAGGTTAAAATGTTTTGTTTTAAAAAAAGAAAAATCCATATTAGGAAATGAAAGGTTGATATTATATTGGGAAGCCGAAAATCACTATATATATCACCAATCAATTTAATTTTTAGTCTCCATACCGCTAATGATTGTTGATTTTAGATCCAGCTGCAAGTTTATGTATTGCTGCTTTTACTTGGTGCTTCATTACTACGAATGCAACATACTGAACTGCAATGGTTAAATCCTGTGTTTAAATCCTGCACTGGAGAGAGATGCAAACAGAAATTAAACTCAGTTAAATTGATAATGTAAATAATGTTATCATGCTTTTAATTTTATTTTTATTTTATTTTATTTTTATTTTTATTGTTCATTTCAACAGGCCTAGCAGCCTGTAAAAGTAAAAAGTACTGAGAAAAATAAACACTTAAGAAGAGAGAGTGGAAAAAAGCTACTCTAGTAAAGTAACTAATTATTTATA